GTTCCATCAGCCAGTATTATGCTTGGCATAGTGAACAAGACAAAGTCCCTGCCCCCCTAGAACTTCCATCCTAGTAAGGATGGGTTACAGGGTAACTGTGACAGGGGATTGGATTTTGAGGGAAATAAACTAGGTGCTGAGATAGAGAATAATGGAGAGGAGGTGACCATTCTAGGTAAGATAGAGAAGGCTTGCTCAAATTCTCTGAGGAGGTGACCGCTGCACTAAGGCCTGAACTGGGGACAAGCCATCCAGGCAGAAGGATCAGAAATCACACACTTGAGACCAGAATAAGCGTGACCTGTTTGAGGAAATCATGGCTAGAGGGTCCTGAGAGAGAGGAAAGCAGTAAGTAATGAAGTTGGAGGGGACAGTGGGGCCAGAGGTGTAGGGCCTCTATAGCCCGGGTGAGTTGTTGGACTGTATTCTGGGTGTTGTAGATAGTAGAAGGTCAATTCATTTCTGTATTTTTAATTATATTTGTCACTGTGAGGTGATGGTGGTCTGAACTGAGGGGTTGGAGGCGGAGATAGAAAAAAGTGCTTGGATTTCAGTTACATCAGTATTCCAGAGACTAGATGGAAGGATGCCATGTGGGCAGGGGGTGGTGAGGGAAGGAGAAGCATCGGGGATGATTTGGGACACCAGGGAGGATGGTGGTGCCATTCCGGAGATGGGAAGATGGGAAGTAAGGAGAAGAGGTTTGGGGATGAGGGAGGGGTGGGCCACAAGGGTCCTGTTTGGGATGTGTTATGTCGCATATTTCTTCAAGATACCCTGTTGGATGTGGTGTGGATGTGTGAGTCTGGGGTTCAGAGGAGAATTCTGCTCTGGAAATGGAAGTGTGGGAGTCACAGTATAGAAAGTAGAGGTGATACTAAACGGTGATTACCCTGCTTTGCTCCTTCAGAATGCTGGTTGGAGCACAACTGTAGAAGTGCAGTTATTTTACTGCAAGATCTCCATCTGAAATTTATTCATGCCGCCAAGGGCCAGGAAGGTGAAATGCTATGCTTGGCGCCATAAAACCATTCTCTGAGCTTGTTTTCAGAAAATCCATATCTGGACGGTGTGAGCAGTCATTAGCAGTGAGCGGCAGGCTGTGTTCTCATAGGTCAGGTGTAACTTAGCCCCAGAGCCCTTGGTTAGTCTGAAGGTGGCAGAGGTAAAGCAAGGGTGCTTGTTCCTGCCCCCAGATTGGAGTCAAGGGCAAAAAAGCCACACAGAAATTGGAAACCTAGAAGAAGCTTTGACCAGAGATCAGCAATTATGGTGAGAATTTTGCTGCCAGGAAAACAAGAAGGAAGGTGAAGAATGATCAAACTTGAGGACTTTTAAGAAACACCTGAGTGGCTTCTGTAGCATGCACAGTCCTGTGCCTTGCCTCCTGGGGATCTGATCTAGTAGCTCTAAGTTGGAGCCCAATACTCTATTTTTAATATGTGATTCTGATGCAGGTGACCCTTGTCATTTGAGAAACACTGATTTTAAAAATCAACCTCTGAGATCATCTAGGCAGCCCTTTCCCAAAAATAGGGAAACAGGCTCAGGGTGGAGACAGGGCTTGCCCGAAGTTGTAGAACAAGTTGGAAAGCCAGTGCAGGTCCACTGACTTTCCTTCCTTCATTTTGCAGTTGACTCTTAATCCTACTGGATGTGGGAAAGTGAGTCTCCCCTCCCAATTCCCGACTCCCCTTCCTTCTCGGTGGTGTTTCTTTTCTTTTCATATCATCATCTAATGTAAGAATAATTTACTAAATTACTGTGTTAATTGTCAGTTGTCTGTCTTGCCTCACTAAAATGTAAGCTTCACAAGGGCAATGATTTTTGGTTTTGGTTTTTTTGGGGTTTTTTCACTGATATATCCTATGTGTCTTGGACAGTATCTGGCCTGCAGTAGGTGTTCAGTGACTATTTGATAAATGGATGGATGGATAGATGAATGAGAAATATTTTGTTAAACTATACATGAGTTAATAGGCATTTTCAGGAAGTGCCAGCCCTTAGGCATTGTTAACCTGAAATAGAGTAGAATATTTTCTTTTTCACTTGTTTGACTCTGGCTTGAATTGGAGGTTATAGGAACAGCTTATTTATGGAGATTAATTAATTAGAGAATTCCCAATAATACTAATAATGGTAATATGAAAAACAGTAAGTTATTAATAACAACTGTGATAACTACCACTTCTGGAATGCTGACTATCTGCCACATACCTACTACATGATGTTCCGAGCTAAGAATGTCACACCCATTAATTCCTCAAATTCTCATCCCATCCCAAGAATGAAGGAACTAGTATTGTCTGTTTTCCAGAGGAGGAAACGAGACTTAAAGAAGTAAGCTGTTTGTCCAGAGTTGCATAAACAGTAAAGATTTAGGATCCTAAAGATTCTAAAGATCAAATTCTTAACTATCAGTAACAATTCAGTATTAGGTTTGGGGTGTTCTGTCTTTGGAGAAGAAATAGAAAAAGTGAAAGATGAGACGAGCATCACTGTTTGGGGTGTCCTAGGCCAAGAACACCAACCTCCTGCCTAGTATAAAACCACAGACAGGGAAACGATGCATTTTTTTCAGCCCAGCTTTACAGCATCACACACAGCCTCCAGTCTTTCGATTCTCACTTAACAAAGAACCCTTCATCTTGAGCTGCTGAGTGAGGCTTTTCTCACTTCTCAGACCACTACCCTGAAGCTGGCCAAGGAAAATTCCTGTGGTGACAGGCCACTAAACCATTTCTGGGGAGGCACTGTAGCACTTTGCACTCACACCCCATTCCTTAAAGGAAGGGTGGACAGAAAGAGGCTCCTGCAGCCCCCTTCCTGTACCACTTCCCTGTTGGGGCCTCAGGAAGGGGCTGAGGGAGAGATCCACTTCTGGAATGCTGACTATCTGCCACATACCTACTACATGATGTTCCGAGCTAAGAATGTCACACCCATTAATTCCTCAAATTCTCATCCCATCCCAAGAATGAAGGAACTAGTATTGTCTGTTTTCCAGAGGAGGAAACGAGACTTAAAGAGGTAAGCTGTTTGTCCAGAGTTGCATAAACAGTAAAGATTTAGGATCCTAAAGATTCTAAAGATCAAATTCTTAACTATCAGTAACAATTCAGTATTAGGTTTGGGGTGTTCTGTCTTTGGAGAAGAAATAGAAAAAGTGAAAGATGAGACGAGCATCACTGTTTGGGGTGTCCTAGGCCAAGAACACCAACCTCCTGCCTAGTATAAAACCACAGACAGGGAAACGATGCATTTTTTTCAGCCCAGCTTTACAGCATCACACACAGCCTCCAGTCTTTCGATTCTCACTTAACAAAGAACCCTTCATCTTGAGCTGCTGAGTGAGGCTTTTCTCACTTCTCAGACCACTACCCTGAAGCTGGCCAAGGAAAATTCCTGTGGTGACAGGCCACTAAACCATTTCTGGGGAGGCACTGTAGCACTTTGCACTCACACCCCATTCCTTAAAGGAAGGGTGGACAGAAAGAGGCTCCTGCAGCCCCCTTCCTGTACCACTTCCCTGTTGGGGCCTCAGGAAGGGGCTGAGGGAGAGATGATGATTCTATAAATCTCTCCTGAAACTTGAGAGAGCCCTTGAGTTCCTGAAACACTGTACCTATTAAACTAGTTGTGAGCTCACAGAATTGATCACCACCTGCTGTGGGTAATGTCAGCAGTCATTCCCACTCCTGCTAGCTAGGATGGCCTGGGTTTGACTGAGCGAACACTCCATACATACAGCAACAAGGCCACTTGCCTGACAGCTGCAGGCACAGGTTGGACACCAGCACACTGCTGGGCTCTGGTAGAGAGAGGGTTGTAACTCGCACTGCCATCTTCAAGCACACGGTGCACCTGGCACGATAATAAACAACGCCATGATCTCATTTAATTCTTAAAATGATCATGATGAGGAATTGCTGTCCCACTTCTGTAGTGAGGAAGGCCCAGAGATGGCAACTCGCCTGAGTCTCAAAGCATTTGCAAGAGGCAGAGCCATGTTTTAAACACAGGATGAGTTGGTTGTAAAACCTGTGCTTCTCTGGTCTGCTCTTTGTGACAGTGGTTAAGAGCACGGACTGGAGCCACACTGCCCAGGTTTGAATCTTGACAGCCCTTACTGGCTGGGAGGCAGTGGGCAAATTACTTAGCCACCCTCTTCCTTGGCCTGTTCATCTGTAACATGGGGATAACATACTCAAATAATAGAGTCGTTTCGAGGAATAAAGCACTTAGTGTCTGTGCATCGAAAGCACTATGTAAGTGCTAGCCATTATTATTAATTTTTATACGAAGTTCTGTTTTTTTCTCTAGATGATGAAACTTAATCTCCTAATTTTCAAGGTTTCTCCAACTCTCCCCCGCCCCACCCAAGGGTTGTATCTATATTCCCAAGATATTTATGTAGATACTCCATATAAAGTACTTAGAGTGGTGCATGGCATATGCTTATCCCCCAGTGTTAGTCATGATTAGTGTGACGTTGCCAAGACATTGGGGGTTGGAAGGCAGGGTTGGGGCAGCATCTGATACTCAGTCAGCACCCATCTTCCCCAGTGTGGTTTCTAGAAGGGGACATGGTCACCATCTAAGTGCCCGTCTGATGGGCAGGACAGGAACTAGGAGGCAACCATTATTTTGCATAGACCAAATTACTGTTCTTTTAATGCCCTAACAGTGAATCCATGTGTAATTATTTTAAAAGATAAGGGAGATGGAAGTATCATTTATTAAGTACCTGATTGAGGCACAGTAAATAAAAAAGATTAGTACTTAGAACTCTTCCAAGGATAAATTTTCTCAGAAAAGCTTGGTGTGGTATGTCATTCATTTGAATGAACGTCACTTTCCAACCAAACATGGTCTGAGCACAGTGCCCTCGGCTTCTCCCTCTCTGCGGGTGTCTGGAGAGGCGGGGCTTTGCCGCCGCTTTGCTGCGAATCTTGCTGATCTGGGCTTTGTCGTGACTGGACTTTCCACTTCTGTTCTAGCTGAAGAGCTGGACAGTGGAAGACCTTCAGAAGAGGCTCTTGGCCCTCGACCCCATGATGGAGCAGGAGATTGAAGAGATCCGGCAGAAGTACCAGTCGAAGCGGCAGCCCATCCTGGACGCCATTGAGGCCAAGAAGCGGCGTCAGCAGAACTTCTGAGCAAGGCTGTGGGGGGCCCTGCCTCCGCACCAGGCCTCCGGTGGACTGCAGATTGCTTGCCACTCAAGTTCGGCAGCCACCGCTCCTGCCCCTCTTTTCTCCACAGCACCTTTGTGAACTCAGGAACACGCACCAGCGGGAAGGGCTGCCTTGACAGTCAGTGTGCCATCTTGATGTATTTAAATTGGCCAGGTATATTATTTCAAAAGATTTATATTGGCTCTGTTAAACCCAGAGTTTTAAACCCCAGGAACAGAGACTCCTCCTTGAGTGACAGCTTGGAAAGTTTTATATAATGTCTTTTGTTTTCCTTCTCCCAATAGCTTTCAATTGTTCTTTCTGAGAGACTTTTTAAAAATATATAAATATGCACATATATATATAAATTATAATGAGATATGCCACTCAGTGTGGTGGCATCTCTGTACAGGTACAGTTTTAAACGGTTTGCCTCTTTTCTGTAAGATTACGGTACTGTGGAACATGAGGGCAGGAGCCACGGTGACACTGTTGGTGGCCCTGTACTCCCAGGAGCCAGCCTCACCCTTTCACAGGGCTGCATTCGAAGATGAGGGGTGGGCCAGTTCTTTGACCATGGTTTCAGCTTTGAGTGGGTCATTCCCGGCTTCTAGAGCTACTGTGATATCCAAGGGAAAGTGGTGAGAGCTTGTGTTTACTTTTTGAGTCCCAGGAGAAGCCTGGCACCCTCTCTGCAAATTGGCCTTTGTGGTTTCAATGCCTTCCATCCTTGTCCACTCTCCCAACCGCCTACAGTCCCAGCACAGATACTGCCTAGTGCCTTAAGAGGAGACGTGATCCAGTGAGGGGCGGGCCCACCAAGAACTCTCAGCAAACATGGGGCTGTATGTGGTGCACAAAAGGGAAAGGGTTTTCCAAGTTCTCCTTGTTCATGTGAAGATCACACCTGCGGCATTTTGCTCCCCTTTCCTTACAGAGAGGGGGAAGAGGGCATTTCTTTTGTGATCCACATTCAAATATGTAACTGTTTTGTTTTTATTTTACTGTGAAGGGGTCTGGAAAGGATATGTGAATATCAGACTAAGGTTTGTTCTCCAGGAGGCTCAGCCCAGACACACAGACCGTCAGAGGTAGAAGGGACCATCAGCATCATCTGGTCTGACTGAGGCTTAGAAGGGGAAGTGACATGGCCAAAATCACGGAGCAAGTTATTCAGAGCTGGAGCTAGACCTCAGGGCTCCTTACTCCCAGGCCACTGAATCAGGCAGCCGCTTCATCAAGGGAAGAAACTTGTGTCTGTTTTTGTTCAGTTGTTCCAGGGAACCCTGCTGATGGAAGCCTGCTCTTGCTTTGTCTCTTCATTGGGTGACTGCCTACGAAGGGATTCCCAAGGGGAGCCAGATCATTCCATATCAGCCATGCCAGGAGTTCTGCATTGTCCGCCAGATAGCTGACAAGCATCATGCCCACAGATTTAGGGCCACAAGCATATTAGAGGCTTTCCACAACACAGCACCGAGCCATTTGTCTTCAGGGCTGGTCCAAGGCCACATGTCATTTAGTCACACAGCAAAGAGTAGGCAGTTGGGAAATGCAAATATCTTTTTATTTTCTAATATTTCTTCCCCTTAGACAGGGGAGCTATGACTTAGGGGGCACCTAAGGATACTGTAATTTGACTCCATAATTGCCTTTTCTTCCCAAACCTGGGTATCAGTGGAAAGGCAGGGAATAATCCCCTTCCGTGGCCAAGTTCTGTCCTTTGCAATTAAAGCAAGTTTTTTTTTAAATGCAAGAGGCAGTTTGGCTTGGCCAATTGCGCAGCTATGTGGCAGACACAGAGAATGGAGAACAGTTTGAGAATCCTGCTAGAATAATACATGGCAGCTAGCATTTGTTGACCATTTACTATAGCCAGGCATTGAGCTAGGTGGGCTCTTTATATATGTCAGCTCCAAAGTCCACAATAACTCCATGAGTTAAGTACTTTTCTCCAATTCATAGATGAAGGAACAGGTTCAAATAGAGAAAAGTTCTTTCCCAAGGCAATACAACTAGTAAGTGGTAGAATCAGGATTCTTAGCATCACCATATGGGACCAGTATTTACAGGAAAAAGCAAAGTCACAAGTCTTAAAATGAAGTTACCACCTTTTCTTGTATAGACTAAATAATTCTAACTGGTATTTTTAGGTTGGGAACCAACTGAATTAGTAGTTAAGTCTAACAGTCAAGCGAGTTTTAAAGACCAAAACATAGAGCATGCATTCCCCCACACCATCTGCTCTGCTAATTCACAGACCTGCCTCCATCTCTTTCTTTTTTAAAAGGGATGTTGCACTTGGCCAGACAGAGGGGGAATGCCCATTTTCTCCCTTCCTAAACTAGATCCAAGTAAAGGAAGGTTCCGTTTTTCCCCATAAATATTCTTGGGTCATGAATCTTGATCTGGAGTTTATTTTGTTTTAAGCATGTGTGCACCCTCCATGCTGGGCCAACAAAGTACATCGCTCACCAGTCTAGCTAGTCAGAGCCCTTTGACCAGAAGTCAGTTTCTTTTGAATCAGATAAATTTCCTGCATTTGTTGGATTTGTTTTCCAGTTCCAGAAAGGTAGGTAGATAAGCAAGTCCTGGTCATTTTTTTCACTGAATACTAATAAGTTCAAGAAAGATCAGCTTGCTTTCATTAAGCCCTGAGGTTCAGTCGTTGCTTGAGGATTTTTGACTCAAGCTTCCAGGGAACTCTGAGGCTCTCACTTGTTTTCTCCAACTGAGAAACAATGATCCACACATAATTTTAAAATCTTTTAAAAAATCTCAAATTCTCTAGGAATATCTTAAATGCTTTCTCATCAGCAATTTGGAAGCAAATTTCAATATTTCTTTTTCCTTTGTTCCTTCTCCCAACTACCAATTGGATGAATGGATGAATGAATGTTTGGCTTGCTAGATGAATAGATGGATGGATAGACAGACAGAACTCTTTAACAACTTAAAAATAGCCTTGACTCCTTGAAACTGTAGATTTTCATGTAGGAAACACTTATTTGCACCTACCAGATGTCAGAAACTTTATTAAAGACCAAAACGTAGAGCATGCATTCCCCCACACCATCTGCTGTGGATTTAAAATTCCATAGTTTTTACCAATATCAGGAATGAGGGAAGTGACATCATTATAGATCCTACAGATGTTAAAAGGCTAGTTACAATATTGTGAACAACTTTTTGCAAATAAATGCAACAACTTAAGTAAAATGGACGAATTCCCTGAAAGATACAAACTACCAAAGCTCACGCAAAAAGAAATAGATACTCCACATAGCCCTCTATCTATTAAAACTCAATCACTCTGGGAGATACAGGTATTATTGTCTTCATTTTACAGATAAGGAAACTGAGGCTCAGAGAGGTAAAGTTTGTTGCTTAAGATTGTGTAGCTAGAATATGGCAGAGCTAGGATTCAAATCCAGGTCTTCTGATTCTTATTCCAGTGCCCTTTCTAGCATACCATGTTGCCTCTAAAGACTGAAGCTCCTTACATACTGGAAAATTGTTCCTCCCCTGTCCACACCCTCCCATTCCATCCTTTCTTAAGCACTGTGTTTATGTCTTCATCAGGAATGGTCATTATATTTGGAATCCATGTTCTTTTTTGTGTCTGGAAAAAAAATCTCTCCCACCAGCTTGCACTTGGACCAACTTAGAAAAAAATAAGCTTAAATGCTGTTGTAAATGTACAACTTAAAAATGTGAAGTTTGTAGCTTTAACTTTTTGTAACAAAAATTAGTAACACTGGCTTAAGTGCTGACTTGAAATGCTATTTTATAAAGTTTTGGTGTAAATAATCCATAGAGGTCAGCAGTTTGTATATGTATGAAATATAGCTTCCTCCACTGCATTTTTTTTTTTAGATGCTTCCTATGTGCTTTTATGTTAAAATTGTTGTTCTCCCTTCTTCCTGCTTCCTACACCTTGTCACCTTTGTTTTAAATAAACGTCCTTTGGACCACAGACTACCCTCTTTTTAAAAATAAGTTCATCTGTAGCCTGGGTAGTGGTATAATTGTGAACCTTAGGGACGCTGACTCTGTTCTAGACAAAGCCAGGGAAGGGGTAGGTAAGTAGGGAGTAAACTTCTGTCGGACACCTGTGTGCAGGTAGTGAGCTATTTGTATATAGATGTAAGTAAATGTATACAGAAGTATATAAAGATGCACCAGCTTGGGGGTCGTTCAAGCACACACCACCACAAATACTCTGGTAAAAGGAAGTACATGGACACGTGTACTTGGAGGGAATGACAATCAGTTCTGCTGGGGTGTCCACGAAGCTTTTCTGGAGGAGGTAATATATCCTGGACTTTAAAAAATGAGGAAAAGATGCCCAGGTCCTGAACTGGTGACTAAGAAGTGAGGGAGGGAAGACGTCCTGGGCGGAGCACCAGCCTGGAAAGGGTCTGGTGGGAGATCCTGGGTGTAGGGTCGCCTTGGAATGCCCCCTCCTTCTCTGTTGTGGCATGAAGCCAGGCCAGGCATGGCCCAGCATTCAGAGGGGACCGGCAGGGTCCTGCCTCTGTGTAGCCCACCCTTATCCAGAAATAATTCCCTAGCCTGACCCTGGTTCTCTTAGTCTTAAGAATTTATTCCACAGCAAGGAGGGCACAGAGTTAATAGCAAAAAGTAAATTCAGGTCTCTTAAAGTCAAACTGTTTTACAGTATCTGAAGAGTTTTAATTATTTGTGTAATTGTCATGCTGTTCTACCAACCTTTCTGGGAGCAGGGGTGATGTATGTTTGGTGTTGCCTAATTTACCCACCTCACTCCCTGAAATACTCAGCTCCCCTTCCTTACTGTTGCCAGAGTGACAACAGGTGTTCCCTTGGTTAGACTGAAAACCTATGGTCAGAAGGAGAGATGAATTAAATTCACATTCATTGAGCAGTTATATGCTGGACACAATGCAGAGCCTTTTAGATTATTTCATTTTTGATCAGAGACTCAGGTATATAGTCCTACACCCTTTCTACAGACACGTGATTCTCATAGTGTGCAGTACTGTGCACCATCCACTAGGAAGTGTTAATGTTTTCAGAGCGGTTTTGCTGTGATGACGAATGCAGGGCCCTATCAACATGTAATGTCCAGAGGCAGTGATGCTGGGTGTCCTGCAGTGCATTCTGGGACAGTCCTGCACAATAAAAAGTTGTCCTGCATCCCATACCACATTCAAATATTGCACTGGATATTCATGTTGGTGAGAGATTTGTTTATAAACACTCCATGCTAAACTAACCCATTTGCATTGAAACACAAAATACTTTGTATAAGGTGTTGCCATTAATTTTCCTAGAATGAACTGTGTGGAATGGAGAGACCCTTGTAGTTTGTTTTGTTTGGAGCTTCACCAAGAGTGGTTTCCATTTCAGAAAACCACATCTGAAGTGGCAACAGTGCCTGTGATATTTGAGTCAATTGAGCAAGACAACATACTAAGATTGGTTTAGATTTGTAACTTTCATGTTCGTCGTGATTCTGTGTAACATGTGAAGAAATAAGTGAAATTTCAGAGAATGGTGAAATGCCGTAAAAAAATAATGAGACTGAGAGCAGTGTGTGTGTGTGTGTGTGTGAGAGAGAGAAAGAGAGAGAGAGAGAGAGAGAGAGAGAGAGGCAGCTTTATATAGAGTGATCTCAGCAGGCCTCTAAAGAGGTGACTTTTGAAGGGAGACCAGAATGATAAGGAGTCAGCCAGGTGGGAAACATGAATGACTGGTATTCCCAGCTGAGGGAACAAGAACTAATGCGCTGAGGTAAGAGCAAAAGTTTGATTTCTTGGAAGGATGGCAGCCATGCCTGGAACAGTGTCCAAAGGAGAGAGTAGGTAGCAGGGGGCTCAGAGAGGCAGTGAGGATGAGCATGCGGTGCCCCGTCCACAGGAAGGGGTTTGGGCATTACTCCTGATGCCATGAAAGCAGCTGAGGGAAACTGCCCGGCCCTGTGCAATGTGAGGGGGCTGGGGGCTGACTCTTAGCCTATGAGCTGTTGTCTCAGCCAGCATCCTGCTGCAGCAGATGATACACGATGGGGCCCAAGGTGTGGCCGTGTCGAGTTTAGATTCAAACCCGGATTTCTTTACCACACTGTTCATTCTGAGACCCCAACTGTGGCCTCAGGTACAAGAGCGTGTCTGTTTTATGATCTGTACACATGCAAACTACCTTCTTTTCCAACGCCCTCAGCTTTACCATTCTCAAGGAAAACGTGCTCTGGTGGAGTCTGCTGGGTTCTAGTTCCTTCCTATTCTTTTTGGGAGGTTAATATTTAATATTTATTATACTGGGCATTTTCACATAGTTTCTCACTTGAGCTTGACATTAACACTCTGAGGTGTAGGTGTTATTAGGTCAAGGCAAATAAAGTAAAAGGCTCAGAGAGGCAAAGAGACCCAGCCAAGATTACATAGCTCCCAAGTAACAGATTCAAGCCCAAGTCTGTCTGGCCTCAGGATGCATATTCTACCCTCTGTACCACATGGTATCGCTCATATTCTCCCATCATATTCAATTAAGTGTACTAACTCCCTGCCTGTGAATGAAGCCTGCAGGGCAGAGACTGCAGCAAGGAGGGACCTGGTGACGTCTGGGTCCACCTATATTTAAGCCACGTTGCTGGGTTTGTGTCACTAGTAACTGAAGGATTTCTTGCCAATCTCAGAATGGAAGAGAGGACGAGGGAGGGCTTTTGATACCAGTGCAGTTGGAAGTTGGAGGTTAGCCCTGAGATGTGCCTTCTGGAGATCAACAAGTCCAATCCAAGGTCATGCAGCTGGTTACGTGGCAGGGCCAATATCTGAGCCCAGGTCTGACTCTGAGAGGAAGGTGTGTACAGTGCCTCCCTCAGATGCATGGGTTTCTGAGGGTTCTGAACCTAGGCCTTTGAACAAGATTAAGCACCGGTCTACACCTGCCCTGTCCTTTCCTAGCAGACAAGATTCTGAAAGACACTGTCCCTTTCATCTCAAAGACTTCAGCCTGAGGAGGTTAGCCTCTCAAATTGCTAACCTTCCAGGAGAATTCTTTCCATATTTGGACACAGGGTCCGGCTGGCTGGTAGTTACCAAGGACCATCCCAGGCAGCACCCAAGGGCTGTGTCCAGAGCTTGAGAGAAGGAACTCGTAACAGGACCCACACTTCAAAGCCACTTCCTTCAGTGGAGCCTGGGGAGTTAAGTTTGTCAAATGAAGTGACAATAGTGGGATACGGTGCCCAGTGAGTCCAGTCCAGTGTTAAGAAGCCTGAGTTTGAATCCCTGATATGCTAATTCTTGACTGTCTGACTGTGGGCCAGTTTCCTCATCTGTCCAATGATGATAATACTATTTTATTATTGTGGCTGTTGTCTTGGAGGTTTGTTGTAAGAAGGCTATGAGATAATGGTTGTGAAATCACTGTGTAAACTGTAGAGTGCCAGAGATGAGTGAAGGGTGGTTTTTATTGTTCGTTGGCAGGTCATTTTCACATATTTAGTGATGGTCCGTAAGTATCATGGGGGCATGAGTCAGGGCTTTTTACGCCAGGGCTACAGAGTATCTTGGGGGTTGTTTTGCTTTGGTTTGTTCTGTTGGTTGCACAAATCAAGTAAGACTTTAGTGGTCACCTTTGATTTCGCTTGAGATCTTGCCTCATTCAGAGCCTGCTGAATATCACAATGGGCCTTTCTGCTTAATTTCCAAGGGTTAAATGCCAACACCTGGCCTCCCACACCTCTGCATGCTCTCTTTCCTCCACCATCAGGGATCCCATTTCACGTTGCAGCCCCTCCACCCACTTCACTCTTCACATCTCAACCTTATGAATCAACCAGATTCCCTTCCATCCCCATTTTCCAATATGAACATCCTGCTTGGCCCTTATTTGAGCTAAAAAGCTCTTCTCTACACAAAGGAGCTTGGGCATGACCTTGCTGTGTGGGCTCCAGGGCCATGGGATGCAGTGGCAAAGGGCCATTTTCCTTTCTTGATGTCATTTGAGTGCTGAGGATGTGGTTCTCAGAGAAAGGATCGCTTCTTGTCACAGTTCACCTTTCAGGAGGTGAGGAATGCCCAGGCTATGGGATAGAATTTCTGTTTGTAACAGCACAGAATAATGTAAAGGGGATGTCAATGAAGCGAGCCCAGTTATAATGGGGGACAGGGGATGGACACAGAATGAGATGGAGACCATTTCTGTGCCATGATGAAAGAGCCCCTTAGGACTTGCTGTAGGGCTGAGATGTCCAAAACCAAAGCTGGCAGTTGACCACACAGGTTGCTGAATTCACAGCCCTGCTGCACTTGGATGAAGTTAGGCACTGCTAGAAAGCGTGGGCTGGGCCAGTGGGATGGCCATATGAGAGGATGTAGGTGACATCCATCGCAATCTGAAACTGGGTGGAAGCAGCCCCCCTACACTTGTTAGAGAAATCTTGCAAGTTCCTGCTTGCCCCACCCCCTGAAGGCTGCTTGCTGGAAGGTGAGTTTAGTTTGGGCCTAGGGGGTAAAAACAGATGGAGTAGGAGAGAATCTTGGACCCACACAGAGTTTCAGAAACTTGTTCATTGATGCCATCAGAAATGTTTGTGGGAATGGATTTTTGTGGTGCCTGATAAAGAGCAGGTGGAGTGTTGGACCAGGCTGATCTTGTCAATGTGGATGCCTGTACCGGGGCTTCTGCTGCTCTGGGATATTAGCTCCAAGGGGCCGGCTGAGCTCTAGCAACTGATGGGTTGGTTAATGCAAACTTGGACCCAAATGCCGGGCCACATGCAATGGAATGTAAAGGCCCCAAATCCCTTGGCATCATGTACATGAAGTCTTCAAAGATTTCTGAAGACAGGGATGCTGGATTGGATCTATTTTGTGCCTCCTTCCCACAAATACCTTTAACGGTGACCTTCAGTGAACCCAAAACACTTTGCCCTCGCTTTAGATGGGGAGTCTGGATGAGGACTGTTGGGTGGAAGGGCTGCGGTCGGAAATGGGTCCCCTGATCTCGGGGAGAGAGAGCATGCAGAGGTGTGGGGGGCCAGGTGTTGGCATTTAACCCTCAGAAATTAAGTGGGAAGGCTTATCATAATATTCAGCAGGTAAGATCTTATGCAGGAGGGCCCTAAAAGCTAAATCAAAGGCAACTGCTGAAGTCTTAGTTGATCTGTATGACCAAAAAAACAAACCAAAGCAAAACAACCCCCCAACACATTCTGTAGTCCTGGCATAAAAAGCCGACACAGCCCACCTTGGTGGTTACGGACCATCACTTAGCATGAAGGCTTGACTTTGTTTATTGTTCTAAAGCCCTTTGAATGAAAGACTCAGTCCTTGCACTGGAGTAAGGACTCTGCTGTGCTACTACATGAGTGTCATACGAACATTTCTCTTGCCTTTTCCAAAGGGACTTGTGGCCGTTTACCAGGGTAACTGGGCACTGAGGGAAGGGGAAAACCTTGAATGAAGACTCTGAGCTACTACCAATTTCCTGGGTCTGAGAGTACCACTGTAGGCCCTCCCATCATGTGAAAATGGGCATTTTGACCTTTGTCTATGTCAGGAGAGGTTTAGCGGGATCCCAAAGCTATCCTATATCTCTGGTTTCTGAGTAATAGTTGCAAAAGATCCCCACATTGGCTCCCTGATCCATGGAAGCCATTAGAACATAAAAGGCCAATAGAATCCAATTGAGCAACTGTTTGGAAACAGAAAATCAACAGCAGTACCACATCTTTGGGGAGGCTGTGGAGACCAGTGCTTCCAGCAAAGACCCTGCAGGGCAATGGATCCTATCAGAACACCATCAGTTTCCTGTTTGGCTGGTGCAAAATTAGATGGGTCTTAGAAAAATGAGAGCAGATTATTTAAATCAAGTAGCAATTCCAATTTTAACAGCTGTGTTACATGCTTGCTCCTTATTACACACAGACATGGAGCAACTATGCATCTAATGGATTCATTCTGTTTCTCAAGAAGCAAAACCACTGGAAGCATTTTGCTATTAGCCAGAAAGGGTAAAGGCTTTCCGTTACTATTCCATTCAGGGGCGCCTTAGTTCGCCCACTATGCCAGTGAGACTTTGATTTCCTGATCATCCCTCTTCCGCAAGACATCAAACTGATCCACTAACTACATCCAAATAGATAACATTAATCCAAATGAACCACATTAATAGGGTCTGGAGAGAAAAAAGTGTATTTTGGTTCTACACGAGACACTTTCCTTGTAGTAGAAACATTTATAAAACTGTGACTGGGAAGAAGGTGTCAGTGTATGGCGGGCTGGGCAGCCAAGGGCTGGAATGTAGTGGACACCTGCTACTTTTGCCTATAACATCCCTCCCCTCTGTGTTGGTGACATCACATGCCCTGTGGGTAACTATCTTTCTTCCATCCCACATGGGCTGTGTAGGTGTTAATCCAGGCACCCTGCCCTCTATCCCCACCAAGGGAGAGACATGGGACGCAAGCTAGGCAACCTCCCTCCTGGGATTGGAGTTGTGAGCAGAATGGCACAAGGGGGAGAGGTGACTGCAGGTAGATCACCTGGATGACAGGACCTGAAACAGAGGGCTCATGGGTCCTGGTGCTGAGGTCCTTAGAGCTCCCCTCATTCCTGTTTCTGAAGGCCTGGTCAGTCAGCTTTTCCTTTGATTTGGTGAACTTCACCAATACTGTTCTGTAGTGGGCATAGGTGATCCCAAGGATATGTCCACATCCTAACCTATGGAACCTGTAAATGTTTCCTTATTTGGAAAAAGAGTCTTTTTTACATATGATCACGTTAAGGATCTCAAGATGAGATCAGCTTGGATTATTCACGTGGGCCCTGAATGCCATCACAAGTGTCCTTATGAGACAGGCATTGGGAGATCGGACACATGCAGAGAAGGCAATGTGATAACAGAGACAGAGATTGGAGTGATGCGGCCACAGGCCAATGAATGCCAGCAGCCAACAGAGGCTAGAAAGAGGCAAGGAGATGATTCTCCCCTAGAGCCTCCAGAGGGAGTGTGGCCCTGAGGACACCTTGACTTTGGACGTCTAGCCTCCACGGCTGTGAGAGAATAAATCTATATTGTTTTAAGCCATCAAGTTTCTGATAATTTGTTACGGCAGCTACAAGAATATACTTTCCAATAAATTTATTTTTTTCATACAATAGCCAGTTTCTGTTGTTTACAACCGAAGAATTATAATTGTAACAGTTGTTCATCACTTTAATTATTTATGCTAATGAATTGACATTTTTTACCAAGTTAGTTCCAGCTGGGTTCCTGTCACTTACAATCTGTGCCAAATCCAAGAGTGAAAACACAGAACATGGATTCTGAGTCCATGTATCAACCACTGTCCCTGGGCACCCAGAAAGCATGCCAGGCAGCCACCTCCTTACAAGGTCCTGGGCCCAGCCTCTTTATTTGCATGATGGTTTCCACTGACATGTGGGAGTGGGAGTAAGCTGCTGCTTTTCCACCAGGACCACAGGGAACCTCATGAGGGGTTCCCTCAGGCCAGAGGGCTCTCCCCGAGCTTTCCCCACACTGGCTTCAGCGACTTGTCTGTGGGGTCAGAAAATCTGGGAGCTTTCTGGCTTCTTCATAGGTTCAGGAAGACCGTAAGGGTAGTTAGTGCATGCAGCCCTCCTGGTTTCCACACTCCGACCTGGGAGAGCTGGGCCTAGATGTTACGAGGTGAGGGTGCAGAAAGGCTGGTGACTTCATGAGCAGCCCCTTAGCTTGGCTCCAGTCTTGCTCCGTTTGGAGACGCAGAGTCCACCCACACGTCGGGGCCAACTATGTGCTAGGCCCTGTGTATGACACACCATTCCCCTCAGCTTGGAAGACTTGTCTGTAGGATTGCCCACTTAGTTATTGATCCCCGTGACGGCAAGTTAAGTCGTCACTTGCTCAGGAGTCTTGTCTGACCTTGGTCAACAGTTCCTGCTACATTACACACACTCAGCGTGCCCTGTACTTAGCAGAGCTCATATTACATATTTATGATTATTGGATTAAAATCCATCTCCCCCACTTGTCTGTATATTTTGTCTCCACTCTATCTCCTGACCTAACAAGCAGTTAATAAATTGGAAGCTGGGGATGAAGTAAGCCTGAGCAGTGGGGGTGCTAACTCAGTAATGTCCATTCGGGGGGTGTACGGGGAACAGTGTGGGCACTGGAGAGTGTGTGCCTCACCCAAAGGCACTGGAATTAAAAGAAAAAAAAACTAAAAATACTGTTCAGCTTGACAAAACATGCCTGCAGGCCACACATGAAGCCCCGGCTTATGACCCCTCTAGAAGATATCTGTTGAATGAGTGAGTGAAGAATTGACAAGGCAATCATTGTAAAAGCCTCAAAAAGCAAGGAGGAAGAGGGAGGCAGAACTGAAAGACCCCCTTTTCAGTCTTGTCTACACCCACTTGAGGGCCAGGGTTCCCTCTGGCTATTTCCTCTCTCTCCCAAATACTTGGCACACAATAGGCTGTACACATTGGTTGATTCATTCATTTACTAAATACCTGCTCCTCACCAAGTCCAGTTCAACCAGACAATGAGTTCCATTTTGAAGCTCAGTGTGGTGGCACAGATGGAGCCAGAGCCAGGCAGGATGGGCATTCTAGCAACAGTGTATGTAAGGGGACCCTTCGCTCCCAACTTTCTCAGCAAGTAGAGAGAGGATTCAGCAGGTGAATAGGATAGGCATGTCCCCAGCAAGGATGAAGGGGCTGGAGCTGGCCAAAAGGGACAGGAGTCTCAAGGTTTTGCGTGGACAGTAACTCAAAGCAGGGTTGGAGGTCTGCATGGTGGACAGAAGGAAACTGCCAAGGTCATATTGAGGGGATGCAGGGGGCACAGGTGTCCATGCATGGCAGCTCCTTGCCACCAATATTTCAGAGCCTAGCTGGCTTTCACCAGTGCCTCCCCTGCCCCATTTGTCTTTCATCTTCCCCTGGGGCACAGACTGTGGCCATTTTACAGATGGGCTGAAATCCAGAGATGGGGCAGGGACCTGCCCACTTCACACATCAGGCCCTAGCTTATCTGGGTCTAGACCTCAGGCCACAGGCCAGGGCCTCTCTGATTCTCTGTGTCTCTAGCCAGCCCTGGGAGGAGGCAAATCTTGCACATCAGCGAAGGAGGCAGAGCCCTCATCCTTCCCCTCAGACCTCATCTTTGAGAGCTGACTCTTGTTGGAATCTGCTGGAAAAGACCACGGGGGTCCAGGCCTCTTACATCTGATCCACCGCCCAGTCCTTTCCCTAGCTCTGGCAGAGGATTCTAACCCTCTGGGTCAATCTGGGGATCCACAAATCCTCTAAAACCACACGCAAACTCTGGAACATAGATCTTGGCAGACCAACAAACCTGGATTCCAAACTTGGCCTCACCACTTCTAGTTGTGTGGGCAAATCATTGTACCTCACTGAGCTTCAGTTTCCTTATCTGTGAAAAGGGGATAATTCTCATCCTCCAACACAGGGCCAGATGTGATCTGGCTAATAGACAATTGCTAGTATCCTTCAGACTTCTCTGGCTCATGCCTGCCTCATGGATGGGTGGGAGGTTTGTTTATAAAGGTCTCTGGGTTGCTCTCCAGGCTCACAGAATCTAGGGTAACACTATCCTGGTGCTGAGTCTTTGGAGGAAGGCACTTAGCCTCGGGGTGCCACTTCTCAGGCCCCGGTGAGCCATCCTGAGGCCATGCTGCCATGAAGAACGTAAGCAGGGGAGGCATCTCTGCTCTGCATCAGCTGACTGTACGGATGTGGGAAGGTGGACCTGGAGCCTTGGTTTTAATAAATCTGAGAGCTTGGAGGCCTACTGGGGTCCTGGGACTCCAGGTCTGCAGACCTTGCCTCCTGGGAGGTCTCACGGGATGTCTCCAGAGATGACTCTGACACCCCATCAATGCTGCTCAGCAAGTCCTCAAACTCCCGGTGGTGGCTGTTGCGCACGGCGGCCTCCAGAGCCTTCTGGCATCGGTAGAAGTGGGAGAACTTGTTGAAGATGATGGTGATGGGGAGCGCTACCACCAGGATGCCCCCCAGGATGCAGCCTGAGGCCGCCAGCTTGCCAGTCACTGTCACCGGCACTACGTCTCCGTAGCCCACGGTGGTCATGCTCACTGTACCCCACCACCAGCAGGCCGGGATGGTGTCAAAGCCCACGTCCTTTTCCTTCTCAGCTGTGTAGGCCACGCCAGAGAACACAGACACACCCACGGCCAGGTACAGCAGTAAGATGCCCACCTCACGGTAGCTGTGCTGGAAGACAATGTGGGAAGCCAAGTCAGCTGGTGCACTTACACACCTAGAATTGGGCATGTGGAGAAACTGCTGCCCAGCGGGTAGAAGGTACAGGTCCCAAGACACAGAGCAAGGGAGAGCTGCTACCAAGACCCAGGTCCCCTGACTCCAAACTAAGACCTTTCAGCTACCATAGGCAGCAAAACAGCCTGGGACTGAACACGTATGTTTCTGTTATCCAAGGTGCCCACTAAGCCACAGCTGTTTCTTTTAATGGAGTGGGTGGGGCATGGATTGCAACAGGCAGTTAATGAAGAGCTTGTGATTTTTACGTGGTTGCAAAACCAGAGAGAACCATTGTTTCTTTCCCACAAAGCCAAGAGTTGGTTTCGTGTACTTTGACTCAACTATCACATTTCTAACAAGTCTAAAAATATTTTCTGCCTCTCAAGGAAGCTGAGAGGATATATGTGCCCCAGACCACCCACTGAATGCATTTGCCTATGAGTGTGTATATTTGCTTTACCCCTGAGGCCAAGCCCTAGGGCAGTGGTTCTCAAAAAGGGCAGTTCTGCCCCCCAGGGGCCATTTGGCAATGTCTCGTGACACTTTTGGTTGTCACACTGGGACAGATGTGCTACTGGCATCTAGTGGGTGGAGGCCAGAGATGCTGCTTAATATCATGCAGTGTGCAGGATGGCCACTCCCATCCACACAACAAAGAATTATCTGGCCCCATTTGTCAATAGTGCCAAGGCTGAGAACCCCTAGTCTAGAACAGGGCGTCCCAAACTGTCATGTGTGCAGGAATCATGTCAGGATCTTGTTTAAAAGGAAGACCCCACTTGAGTAGCGTTGGGGTAGGGCCAGAGATTCTGCATTTCTAGCAAGCTTCCAGTGATGAGACAGCTGCTGCTGGCCAGGGCCTCCCCTCTGAGCAGCAAGGCTGTCATCTGCAGTCATACACCTGCGTTGGGGACCGTGACAGCCTCCACCACTACTCTTCTCCCTCCTTGCAGAAAAGCTGGTGGTATCACTCCCTGCATGGAGGAGGCAAGACACAGTTCTGGGTGGAGGGATCTTCCCTGGAGAGACACTGAGTTCGGGCGTCTGGCTAATGGAGCTCCCTGTACCTGCCCATTGCCTTAGCCTTCTGCCCAGGTCACCCTGCCTGCACCCAGTGACCTGGTTGCGCTACCTCGAAGGCATGAAAAGGGCTTTACTAAGCCATGAGTGGAAGGGATCTCTTGGCACCTTCCAGGCATCCTCAGCTGTATTGCACGGAGCTTTAGGAGGAAGAGCAGGAGGTGCTGGAGTCAGGCACAGCTGGCTTCTCCTCTGGGCTCTGCCACTGACTTGCTGAGGACCCCTCGACAAGTCCTGTCACCTGTTGGAGGGAGCCTCAGTTTCCACATCTGCAAAGTGGTGACAATAATTCTTGCCCCTGCTTAAATCCCTCACCGACTCCTATTTTCTCAGGATAAAGTCCAAACTCCTGGGCCAAGGGTTCATGGCCCCATCAGCATCTGCCCCACGCACCTCTTCACCCTCACCCACTGGCTCCCCCTCCCTCCATGTCCCCTCCCTTTCAGGGTGTTCTTGCTCCAGGCCTTTGTCCAAGCTGTTCACATTTCCTCCCTCCCCAAACCAGACAGATTTCACCCCTTGAAGACACGCTTGCTAGGGCACAATTCAACCCCAGCACAGGGCCTGGCACCAGGAGGATGCTCAATAAATTGCAACCAGGCTTAAAAAAGGCAACCCTCCAACCTCAGGTTGTTCATCTACGGGAAGGGAATAAAATAATAGCATCTTCTTGAGGAAGTTGTCCTGAGGAGGAAATCGATAATGGATGTGAAACTGGCACAGAATTAGCACTCAGGAAGTGTTAGCTCTGGGGCTTTTGCTAGACTTGGCCTATTAAGGGTGACCTATGATATCGGTGCCCTCTGATAATGCCAGAAGAAGGGCTCAGAGGGCAAGCCAGTTAGGTTGCTTTGCATATTTTGTGCTGTGTATTATTTGATGTTTGACAGATAAATCAAAAGTGACCTTTGCTTTTTTTTTCCTTTTTTGAAAATAAAGACAAGCAAAACTCTGCCTCAGTTTTCAGCTTTCACCCAGGGGGAAGAGCCCTTACAGGACTGTTGGGAAGATCAGACTGGGTGTGAAATGGGAGCCTGGCACCCTGCTCTGTCTGGCCCAAAGGACGTCATCTCAGTTCACTGGGCACCTGGACACCTCAGGCAGGCAAGTTCACCTGCTAAGCTGCCCCATGGTTACACCCGCCTCCGCCCCCGCCCCCAACACCCTGTGCCGCAGCCAAGCCGCAGAGGCCCTACCTTGAGTGTGGCGCCCAGCGAGCGTAGGCCGGTGGAGTGGCGCGCCAGCTTGAGGACGCGGAAGATGCGCATGAGGCGGAACACTTGTACCACTTTGCCCAGGTCGCCAAGCTCCTCGCCACCTGTGCCGACCCGGTCGCCGAGCGCCATGCCTGCCAGCAGCGTGAGGTAGAAGGGCAGTACCGACACGATGTCAATGAGGTTGAGAGGGTGGCAAAAGAAGTTGCGCGTGCTGGGTGCCAGCAGGAGGCGCGATGATACCTCGAAGCTGAACCAGGCGATACAGAAGTACTCCAAGTGCCTCAGCACCGGGTCGTCCCGCATGCCTGCCGCGCTGCGGCCAGCGGCCACTGCAGCCACGGCGGCAGCCGCCTCGTGGGCCTGGTACTCGGGCAGGCTGTGGATGCACATGGCGGCGATGGAGGCGAGCACCACGCCGATGGAGACGCAGCTGAAGAGCTTGCTGGGCAGCGAGTACCCCGGGTTCTCCATAGTGAGCCAGAGGCGGCGGCGCAGGCGGCCGCAGCGCGCACCACTGTAGCGCGCCAGCTCGCGCTGCACGTCGGAGATCTCGTCGGGGCACGGGTCCGTGCTGCTCGGCGCGTCGCTGTCCTCGTCCCAAGCGCGCGGCCGCGTCACCCGCCGCTCCAGGTAGCGCGCGCGGCAGCACGTGGCCAGCGCGCTCTCGCCCAGGCCCCAGTAGTCGGCCTCCTGGCCGAAGGCGAAGACGCACAGCTCGTCGAGCACGTGCAGGCGGCCCGTGCGGTAGAAGTGCAGCAGGCCCAGGAAGAAGCCCGGGTGCCTGTCGAAGTAGAACTCGCGCGCCGCAGCGTCGTAGTCGTCGCACAGGCGCCGCGCCTGCTCCTCGGACGCCGCTGCCTGCAGGCGGCCCAGCCGCATGCCCGGGAAGCGCGCCACGGCGCGTGCGCTGAGCCGCCGCCGCACGCCGCCCACGTTCACGCGCAGCACCTCGTCGCTTCGCCGCCAAGGGACACGGCCACCAGGCCCCGGGGACTCGCTCACCATGGCTTCAGTGCGCTCGCCTGCGGACACGGTAGGGGCACGCTGAGGAGGATCCCCGGACTTCCCTTCCGGGAAGACTGGTTTAAACCCTCCGCTGGGGGTGTTGGGCGCGCTGTGTGAAGCGTCTGGTATGCAGTAGGCGCCCAGTGTGTGTCAAGTGCTCTCCGGACTGAAGAGTCCGGCTTGGGTTTGAATATCCCTCACTCCCCAACCGGACGTCTTTGGCTCAATTACTGAGCCTTCTCACCCCTATTGCAGCTGCATAAAACAAATGCTGAGATCTACCTTGGAGGGTTATGCATGCAGATGTCCTGGCACCTGGTGGATGCTTACATAGGGTGTCTCCCTTTCCCAAATTTGGATTTCCGTATACCAGGGGCTTACTGTGGAATCTTGGACCGCCAGTGCTCTGAACCTGTTTCCTCTGTAAAATGTGGGTAGTGATGCTTACTACCTAGAGTTGTTGGTAGAATCCACTTAGACCAGTAGTTCTTGAAGTGTTGTTCCCTGGAAGAGCAGCACCAGCATCAGCTGGGCATTTGTCACAGATGCAAATTCTCAGGCAGCTCTAGACTTGCTGAATCAGAACTCTGGGGACCGGGTCCAGCAGTCTGTGTTTTAACAAGCCTGGAGGGTGATTCTGATGTACTGTCAATTCTGAGAGGCCTAATTGGCTTAGGCCATTTAAAGCATCTGTAGAATCATTAAAACTGAACTTTGACTCTCTCGTGTGACCACAGGCAAGTCATGTCACCTCCCTGAGATGTCAAGTGGAGATAAAAATATCTACCTCCAAATATCTATCCAGGGCAGCCCCGCCTCCTGGATAAAAAGATTAAATAATCTATTGTCTTTGTCGGGTCTGGCTGAGTTTAACAAATCATCCACCTGTTTCCCTCTGCTGGAGCCAGGCAAACGTGGTTTATGCCCACCCCTGATGCACCTGGGCCTTTCTCCAGGTGTCAGTGTCCCGCACAAAGCACAATGCAGGCAACGGCACCTGTCCCCAAGAAGACTGGGAGATTGAAGTAGCTTAGATTCAAAATCAACCTTAGCTGATTCTCAGGAAATGTTAGATCCATCCACTGGCCACTGTCTCCTGGAATTGAGGGCCAGCGACTCACCTCCTAAACCTTGTAATCCCGTCTGCACTGTGGCTTCAGTAATGTCTGCTTTCCAGAGTGGATGGGGAAATTTAGTGTACATCAAGCAGCTGGCCCCATACCTGGCAGGAAGCTGGGTGGGGTGCCCTTCACTTACTTACCTGTGCTTGGTGTTAAGTAGGTCGGGGTTGTGTCTTTAGCTCTGTCACTTGTGTGACCTTGGGCCAGTCTCCTCGCACTCTGGTCTTTGGCTCTTCTCTATGGAATGGGGATAATAGCACTTCAGGTGAAAGGCTTTTGTTAGTGTACATGCAAAGCCACGGGAACAGTAGCAGTTTAATAAGTGTTAATTCCTTGCATGTCCTCCCTCTGGTCAGACCTGGGTTCAAATTCTGAGTCTGCCACCAACTGTTGACCTAGAGTGGATCCATTCTGTGCTTTAGCCCCACACCCATAAACTGGGAAACATCAAGGGTTAAGAGACTAGGCTTAAATGAGATAAGATGTTTATTGGCAACGTGTGCCTGGCACATAATTCATTCACGGCAAATACAGGTGTGATGCACTCCACGCCCACATCCTCCACCTGGGCTTGGAGTCAGAGGATGAAGTTTCTAATCCAGTTCCCTTACCCATTGGCTGCATAACCCTGATCAACTCCCTTTCTCTTTCTAGAATTCACCTTCTTGCCCTATAACGTGGGACAATTCAACAACCCTCCCTGAAAAGAATTTGTAAATATCAGTAAGGTTAAGTGATTTGCTCAAAATTACCCTGCTAGTCCGTGGCACAGTTCAGGTTGGAAGCTAGGAGTTTTGATTCCAAACTCTGTCCAGACATTTATTTTAGGCACCTACCATGTGCTGGTCCCTTTGCTGGACTCCATGTACACCTCACTCGGTTTAATCCCTACACCAACCCTGTGGGGGAGGTTTTCTAATACCATTTTACAGATGAGCAAACAGGACCAACTCATCTAGCGCCCTCCTTGGGAGGGCTCACGGAGGGCACCAGGCACCCAGGGCAGCCCTGCCTCCTCCTCTCGCAGCCCCCTCCACCTCCCAGCCACCCGATGCGGAGATTCCCTACCTGTCCCAGCTCCTCCAGGAAGCCCGCCGGGGCGTCTGTCCCCGAAGGCGCCGAGGCTGGGGAGACACTGGCCGCTCCTGGCTCCTCTGTGTCCCCTCCGACCCGCGGAGGCTCGCTGCCACGGGAGGCCCTGGGCTGGGCCGTACTTCTCGTCTTCCTCCTGCCCCCAGCTGAGGCCGCATCGATCACTGCCGGGGAGGGAGGGAGGGAGGCCGCGGGAAGCCAGAGGCAGAGGTTTCTATTCTTGACTCCGCGGCGGGTGGTGCTGGAGACTGGGCCCAAGCTCCGGGCGTCCCCCACGTCAGGGCCCAGGGAAGACGAGTCATTTAGGGGACGCGGGTTCCCTAAGAGGGATTTCAGCCTGAGCTTCTCTGAGGAAAGCACAGCCACAGTAATAATAGCTCCCTGTTATTCTTGACACAAACTTGGCAGGGACAGGGTCTGTGTTCCCCATTTTACAGGTGAGGCTCAGTCAGCTGCTGAGGGCACTTAGCTATGAGCTGGGACCTGGGATTGGAACTCTCACCTTCCAGGACTGCTGGCAGGGTACCTGCCTAGGGAGTGGGGGCAGGTGGCCCAGCCCTGTGATTCCAGGCCCTGCCTGAACCCCAGCTCTTCCCCTGTGGACTGTGAAGCCTGAAACTGATCATTTTGCTCCCTACCCCAAGTGGGTTGTGAACCAACTGGGGGAGGACTGTGCCAAAGAGCTTTGTCAGGGTTGTGTGATCCACAAGCACTTATGGAGTGCCTACTGTGTGCCTGGTTGGAGAGAGGTGCTGGAGACCAGGTCCTGGATAAAAGAAAGATTCTTTCTTTTGCAAATGTTAGTTGTTATTAATAATAATAGATAATCAACAGTTATTGAGCACTTGCCTTGTACCAAGTATTCTACAGACCTCATCTCATTTAAGCTGCAATGTATCTGTGGAGTGCATGCTGTTGCAATCTCGCAGATAAGAAATGTAAGCCTTTGAGAGGTGAGGTACCTTGCCCAAGGTGACTTCCCTATGTAACACACACTCACAGGTTCGACCTACACTGAAAGAGGAGATTATATAAGGGCAAGAGTCACTGAAAAATCATCTTAGAATTCAGTGTACTACATTCATCTACAGTAAATCTCAGTTTGGATTAATCACATTTCACATATCCAGTAGCCACACGTGGCTAGTAGCTACCGTATCAGCACAGCTCTAAGCTGTACCACTTCAGTTCTTCCCTCAAAGTAGGAAGTTAGAGCAGGACGATGCTTAG